ATAGGTCTATAGACTACTCCACCAGAAAATCTCATGATAATAACCATTGTGTGTGGCTCTACAGCCTCATTTTTGGTGGACCTATTTTGGTGGTTTGGCGCATTACGCGAATCCGCGCATTACGCGCACGGACACGGTAAACACTCTCCGGAAATGTAGTTCCCGACACAAGACTTAGGCAAGGTTCTCAATACGCTCAAGATCCGTTCGAAGCAACGTTACAACAGTGCTCGAATCATTGAAAGCTTGAAATGCGTCGTCGGCACTGCCGTTATCACCTTTCCCAGTTTCACCGGCTTTCGGCCACTGTGACTAAGCCCGAAGTGGCCGAAATGAGGCTCGGCTATCCGGCACCAACGAACATAACGCCGAACCTGCACCTTTCCAAGCCCACAAGAGTTTACCCGGCCGCCACGAAGCTTAAATCCTTACCCTCGAGGGCTCCACATCGTCGTCACTTCATCTTAGAGATTCGCCGCAGTGGTTGGACGCTCCACGCACATGGGGAATCGAGCTTCACCGGGATTGCAGATGCATCCGCACGTCTCCGCGTGGAGAACTCCACACAGAAAGAATGTTCACCCTGATGCTGTGTTCCGGGTAGGAAAGCACCGTGGGGAGGGATGGAGTCTCCAAGAAGTTCAACAATTTGGATGGAGCAATGTGGAGCCCCGTAAAAGTCGGTGCGCGACCTTCGGACTCACAACAAGTACTTTGTCTTCACCATCTTTGCCTCTCTTTGTATCTGTTTACATCCTCTGTTACTCCCCTATCTTCGTTGCTGGACGGACGTTGTCAAGATGGGTATCCTCGCTAAGGTCGAAGACCGGCCCACGCCGAAGAGCGTTTACAATTGGCGCGTGTATGTGTCGGCGATGATAGCGTCCTTTGCATCTTGCATGATTGGATACACGACCTCCTTCATCGGCACAACAGTATCGCTGGAGTCCTTCCAGGATGAGTTCGGTCTCTCGACGATGGGCGCCTCGCAGAGGAGCTTGATCCAGGCGAATGTCGTATCGTTGTTCCAGGCTGGAGCTTTTTTCGGATCCATCTTCTCGTACAGCACGGCCTATTACTTCGGTCGACGGATCACGCTTTGGACTTTCGTCACCATGTTCATCATCGGTGTTTGCGTCACGTTTGCTGCGATCGGTGGACATCTAGGTCCCATGTATGCTGGAAGGTTCATCTCTGGGTTCGGTGTTGGTGGCTGTACTATGATCGTAAGTCTTTGATCTTGGCTCTCGCAGAAGCGCCGAGCTCACCAATGCTCAGGTTCCCATCTTCATCTCAGAGATCGCGCCTCCTGCTATCCGTGGTCGCCTTGTCGGTACCTACGAACTTGGCTGGCAGATTGGTGGTCTAGTTGGTTTCTGGATCAACTTCGGCATGACACAAAGCGTCGCCTATGGACGGAACCAATGGCTCATTCCGTTCGCTGTCCAACTCATTCCGGCTGGCATGGTCCTCATCGGCAGCCTTTTGTTTCTTAGGGAGACGCCTCGTTGGCTATGGACCAAGGGCCGACGCGAGAAGGGCATTGCCAACTTGTGCTGGTATAGGCAATTGGATCCTGAGGACGCTTACATCATCGAGGAGATCGAGATGATGGACCTTCAAATCAATGACCTGCCTACCGGTTTCATTAAGCCCATTCGTCTTGCCTTGTCGAGCAGCCCCGTTCTATGGCGCTTGTTCCTGGGTCACATGCTCTTTCTCCTCCAGAATTTCTCGGGTATCAATGCTATCGTAAGTGGTCCAAACAAGTCTCAGTCTCATTGATGAATGCTAACGAATTGATAGAATTACTACTCTCCCACCATCTTCCGCACCATGGGCGTCACCAACACCGAGACAGTCGACTTGATGACCGGCCTCTTCGGCGTCGTGAAGTGCATCATGACCATCCTCTGGCTCACAGTCCTGATCGACAAGCTCGGCCGTCGCACTCTCTTCCTCGCTGGCGGTGCCTTCGGAGCAGCCTGCATGATCATCATTGGGGCTCTTATTGTCACCGAGCCGGCCGCGGCAGAAGGTGCTGGACTGTCTGGACAGGGTATTGCGACCATCTTTATGATCTATCTCTGGACATGCATCTATATCACCTCCTGGAATGGCACGCCCTGGGTCGTCAACGCGGAGATGTTCAACCAAGCCACTCGCAACGTTGGTCAGGTCGGCGCATCGATGGCCAATTGGCTATGGACCTTCGTCATAGCGCGCATCACACCCAACATGGTTGCAGGTATGGGTAAGAACGGGTTTGGAATGTACTTCTTCTTTGGGTCGGTGAGCGCTTGCGCTGTGGTGTTTGTTTGGTTCTTGGTGCCTGAGACCAAGAGTGTGCCACTTGACCAGATGGACAGGCTGTTTGAGATCAAACCTGTCAGGAATGCGCAGCCGAAGCTTATGGATGAGTTGGCGCAGAACAATGCAGACTTTGCGAAGTTAGACAGGAAGGATGAGGAGGTTCCTGAGCAGGTTGAGAGGCGCTGAATAGCACAGCCATCCTAGGATCGTAGAAGTAAAGCGTCAAAAATGCATTGATCATTGTCGTTCAACTTGCCGAGGACCGCATGTCACAGAGGAAACTCGTCCGACCTGGCTCGACTCTTACAAAGTGTTCGATGTGGCTTGTCTTCCCATGCTATTGGCATCTTTGTGCGATGCAAACAGCATCGCATGCCTGACCAAGGCTTTTTGATCTCGAACGTCTGGCAAACATGGATGTCCTTTGGGGGTGCATTTTGTAGTCGCTGCAGACTCGTAGCCTTGGGAATGCTGATACAAAGCGAAAAGGAAGGCAGGCCAGAGACATCGCTTGAACGATTGGTCATATTGGAAAAGCTTTTTCAACAGCACGTCGTACATGACGATGCGTCTTTCTGAAAGAATCACGGTTTGAATGCTGGAATAGGGCGAAATAAACATTGGAGAGAGAGTCCGGTATAGACCATGTTGCGGTGTGTGCCACTGTAGAATACTGATAGCTACGGTAAACGATAACGTAGGACTCTCGGCTCAATGGAATACTGCGCTGAATTGCTATCTAGCTGGGAGAAGACAACTATATACCTGACCTCAGGGCAGTGACATGTCACACACTAGACTAGGATAGTCTGTCAGGGGTACAGTCAGACCTTGTACAGACCGACCGATACCGCAATAGATCAAAGTAGGTCAGTACTCGATCTCCCCACGTTTCTTCAAACACTCACAATTGTGAGGTCAGGTTGTCTGCATCACATTTGTACTTGTAGGCTTTGAAGGGAGGAGAGTGGAGATAGACATTGATGAGGTTATAGAGGTTTGGATGGAAATGATTAATGGAAAGAGGAGTCATTCAGGAAGAACATATATTCTGGTACCCATTCCCATCAAGCACGCGGAAGCAATTTCAGGCCGCAGAGGCATCTGAAAATTCACTTTTGGAGTCGCCAGTTGACTCCGTGGCGACTTCATGTTGTGTCTAGAGGACAGAAACCTGTTCAGACCAAGACATGGAGGATGCTAGTCAAACCATGTGTTTTTAGGAGTTCATGTCCTCGGGGTGATCATAAACGAGGCAAGTTGAAGAGGCGGCCATTCGAATGCTGAGGGTGATTTTCGAGGAGAGATGTCATGTCATGGAACTCCAGGATAAGGTTTTTCAAGTGGTGTCAAGATATCTAGAAGAGAAGAGAAACATGGCGCTGTGGTCAGCTGCTTTTGGAGCACCGCTCCAGCAACAAATCGATGGTTTTGTGTGCCGTTTTTGAAGAGTAGGACATACAGACGATGGCAGTGCTGACGAACAGTGGAGAAGTGATCAGACTTACAACCTTGAGGATAGACGTGCTGACCAGAGCTTGCGCATGTGCGAAATGAGCGGAGGAGATCAATGGCGGTGGAGCTGATTCACAGGTACATGTTGAATCATATCGTCAATTTTGGCCTTGTTCTGCCAACGAACGACAGAGTGCTTTGAGGTACATGGTGAAGACGTCAAAGCGCCCAGACGCAGACGTAGAACGACTTGAGGTCATTTTTGTTGTTTCGAACTTTGACAGAGACGAAGAACAGGGACATGCCGAACTGTCTAGAAAATTTCCGGGAGGAAGAGGTCCATACCGCAGGATTTGATGAGTTAGAGATCGGTGTGAAGCGTTCGAGAACTTTGGAGGAAACCGGAACATGTGGAGCTTGTGCTACGCTTTTTGGCGCCTCTCCACACGCACATGTCTTCTTTGCCGTCGCATTTTCACAGCGTCGAGAAGACTGGAATGATGAAAGCGAAAGTAAGGTCTTTGAAACGGCGGCCTTTCATACATCGAGAAAAGTACGTGCAGGTCCTAGATAGCGTACGTTTGAGAAGGAGCAACATGTGGCACCGGTGAAGTCCTTTTGGGACGAAGGACACAATTTCAATCGCGGTAAGTTCTTTTGATTGCTATCGACACCAGAGAGGAGAGGGAAGGGCATGCAGAGTTGCCTGTGAACAATTTGAACATCTACCACAAACACATGTCATCTCCAATGTCTTACTTTCGAAAAGAGAGAGAAGAGTTCGATGAAAACGATAAGCAAGAGAAGGAAAGCCTTGGTAGTTTATACCCAAAGCAGTCACATGCTAGCCGGAGCTGGCGCACTTGGACCCAGGAGCTGAGACACATAGGGGGGCCAGAAGAGACTTCAAAGATCTTGGTCATGACAGTACTTCATTGCTTTTCCAACGCTAACATAATACACTTTGCGCAATTTACAGCTGCTCGTTGACGAACAGACCAGCCATACCCATGCCAGTACCAATACACATACTAGTAAGCAGGATCTTTTTCTTCTGCCTCCTGCACTCACTCAGACCTGTGACAATCTGCCTAGCACCTGTGCAGCCGAGAGGGTGACCCAGCGCAATAGCACCTCCCCTGACGTTCAGCTTGCTGTGGTCGATCTGCAGTGTCTCCAAGCAGTACACGGCCATGGATGCGAACGCCTCGTTGAGCTCGATCAGGTCGATGTCGTCGAGCGTGAGCTTGAACTGGGAGAGGAGCTTGGGAATGGCGACGGAAGGGCCGATACCCATGATCCTGGGAGGAAGACCGGCGACGGTGGCGCCGACGTACTTGGCGAGGATGGGCTGGCCGAGCGCCTCAGCCTTGGAGCGCTTCATCAGCAGGACCGCGGCGGCGCCGTCCGTCAGTTGTGAGGAGTTACCGGCGTGCGACTTGTCGCCGTGGGGCAGGAAAGCAGGCTTGAGCTTCTGCAGCGACTCGAATGTGGTGCCGTAGCGGATACCCTCGTCCTTTGTGAGCGTGACCTCCTTCTCCTCGCCGGTCTTGGGGTCCTTGACGGTGGTCTTGATGGGCGCGATCTCGTCGTCGAACCACCCAGCCTTCTGCGCGACCTCGGCGCGGCGGTATGACTCGGCGGCGTATCTGTCCTGGCGCTCGCGGGAGATGTTGAAGTCGTTACCGACGTTCTCGGATGTCTGGCCCATGGGCTGCATGCAGTCGCAGGACTCGGGGTTCTGGAGGATCTCGTCGACAAAGGGGCGCTCGAGCCTGTCGCCGCCGCTCGTCATGCTCTCGGCTCCCATGGCGACACCGCACTCGATAGCGCCAACGGCGATTGCGTTAGCGATGTCTTGTACGGCCTTCAAGCCGGAGGAGCAGAAGCGGTTGAGCGAGGAGCCTGCGGTGGTGTTGGGGAAGCCGGCGGCCAGCATGGCGGCACGGACGTAGTATGCTGCCTTCGCGTCTGAGACATTGCCGCAGCAGATGTCCTCTACAACGGCAGGGTCGAGCTTCGATTGAGCGACGACCTGCTTCAGGGTCTTGACGAGGATGCCGTCGAGCTTTGTGTCCTTGAAGCCGCCCTTGTAGGCTTTTGTGAGGGGTGTGCGGATGGCGAGGGTGATTACTACATCGTCCGGGTTCTTGGTGGTGCTGTGCTGGTGTTAGCTGTGTCGCGCGGGGGAAGACAGCGTTGCGGCGTACATGGTGGACAGGCCGCTGGTAGAGGGCGTCATCTGCGCAACGATGGACTTGAGGCGTTCTGTCATTTTGGCGCTGTGATGTTATGCAACTGAAAAGACGCGAGGAAGAGAAGAAACACCGAGTGATCAGCAGAAGAAGACGTTGAGCAATGCGGAGGCGGAAAGCGGAGCGCTTTAACGAGGATGGGGTTGCTGCATGGAGCGAGATGCCTCGGCCCATCGGGCGGGAATCACGGGGTCCTTCGGCAGTTCGTTGACCGCCCCAGGCCCGGCCCTCGGGGTTTGGTGTCAGCTCACCGTGCTAAACGCAGGGCTGGCTGTGGAGCTGGCGAGGTGGCGGTGTTCACAACCGCGGTCACAACGAGATTGCCCGAAGTTTACCCAATTAGGCAAGTTCTACAACTGTCGATTACAGATGAAGTTCAACTGACAAATGCCACTTGAAACGGTTGAGACCAGCCATACTGCTTGCTGCCTTCAAGATTAGCTAGGGCAGGTGGGAGAGGTGATGTCTCCTCGGATTAACGTTAAGTATATACATTGAAGACATGAACACAACAACCACTACACTAGAAAACACTCCTAGCAGCAGCCTCACGTCCTGAAATAGTCAAGACCACCAACGTTGCTATTGGTGTCGAGAGAGATGCCCTAAAGTGGTAGGTTAGCACGGAGCCTACGCACAGGACTCCGTTTGGCAGGTCTTATTGGACAAAACATGTCATGCTTTGTGTTCTCGACGATCTGCTCGCTGACAGTCTTGGTCTGAGTGTTGTAATGGCGGTGGAGGTCTTGTCATTGCCTGGGAACGTCCAGCGGTTTGCCCAGCCTGCAGACCAAGCGAGAAGGTTCCCGCTTTGTGGCATCAAGGAGATATTTCTTGACAGCATACGAAGCAGCAGCACGCGTCTTGGCATCAGTGAGCGGAGTCTAGTTTCGAAGAGCGGTACATGCTCCGAGGGTCGTGGCTATGCTAACTCGAGCGCCCGCACAAGCTTTGACGACAACACCAACTCGATTACACAGTATATTACTTCAATTCCATTGTCCACAAGCACACAAACTCTTCCAGCGGTCGGTCAGTTATCCACCACAACTCAAACGCTACCGGCTGTCATTTAGCTATCTACCATCACCCAGTTCCCCAAAACGACAGTCGTGGCTCTTCCTACGTAGGTTTTGCCAAAATTGCATACTCGAGCTGCTTGGAAGCCCGAGCTCCGGCAACCGCGATTTTGCGCTCGTTCTGATCGGTAGAGAGCTCTCAGTCGAATGCTAACACGATTTCAGTACCGCTACTGCGACTTCGGTGTCGATTAATACTTCCTTGTCGGTTCAAACGCTCCCTGCCGTTATTCAGCTCTCCATGATCGCGTCCGTATGCCCTGCAGTCACGATTGTACCTACTTTGCCTGCTAGAGCTCAGAATCGCGATCCGCGGTTCTATGATAGCCGTCGTGCTACCTCTCGGGCTCTGTTTCTCGAGCAGCGTCCATATTCGGGTCTTGCGTTCTCTTTTAGGGGATCGGGCTAGCACCTGTCAATGGAGGTAGAATGTGAGCAGAATTGTGATGTGTTGATAGCTATCTACTTGGTGTTTATCTACCTGGAGACGAGCTGTGGGCGCTATCCGGAAAGAGGAAGGCGCAGAGCTTATGAGAGGCAGGAGCAAGTGAAGGTGCCTGGCTGACAGCACCCTTCCTACCTTGTGAGCGCACTAGACATTTGCTAACTTCAGGCCTGCCCTAGTGACTTCTACGGTAACATCAGTATCTATTCAATCTGCTATTACTGTTATTTCCACGTGGTACACCGCATCACATTGTAAAACAGACGGATACATACTTCGTCTATGATACAACGACACAATTCATAACCCGTGAGTACCCCTCGTTCTCCTTTCCTGTTGCAAGCTCACACAACATATGAGCAAACTCTTGGCTACGATTGCTGGACCTACCAACCAACAGAGCGTCACAACAGATAAGTGCAATGAGGAACTGATACTAGCTCTGGGTGTTGCAGCCTTCGAAATCTTTAAAGCACTAGAAGGTCTCGTAGGCGCTGCCAAACGGCTTTTACGCTAACCAGCATCCTGGTGCTTCCAGCGCTGGTCTATACATCGGTCGAGACCCTTTTATCACATCCTCGCTGCCGGGCGCGACGGTGGCAAGCACATTTGTCCCACCGGGATTGATCTCTATGTCTGTCCAGACCCTCACCTGACCAGCATCGACAATTACAAGCACATCTGTTCTACCGGCTAGCACTGAGTTCGTGACAAGAACTCTCAGCCTAGCCCAAACTAACCTGCTGGTCCACCGGCTTTGGGCGCCTTCGGAGTGGGAGCCAGTGGCGATGGGCAAGCTCCATCTGTTCTAACCCGCACAGTGACCACGACATCGCTCCTCCAGGTGCAGTTGTGACCTCGACGGCTTTTCTGCCTGATCTGACCTTGGAACAAACGTTCTCCCTTGCTCTTTTCCGCACGACAGCTTCCGTTATAACGCAATGCGAAACGCTAAACTTCTTCGTAAAAAATACACTGTTGCAGAAAACAACTACTAGCACACTTTTTCGACGACTACGTTGCCCCAAGCCACTCTTTCCATCATTTCGACCGCATATGTGGGCCCTACAGTTACAGAGGTATGTCATTTACCCCTTTCGTCCTTGTAAATAAACAGTGCAGATAAGCGAAGCAAACAAGCTTGCTCTTTGGCTTTGAGAAGGGCGATTAGAGCGGATGTATGAGAGTTGGGTGTTCGGCCACTGCTACTGGCTTCCTCCATGCCTGCCTCCTCGGCCTCACTTCTAGCTGCTACAACCTCTTCTCTGTTCATGCCTTATCTTTTGAACATTCGAAATCAGGATTTCGCAAAGATCGGACTTGCAAGCACTCAGGTATTTCCACCGTCTTGGCTTTGACTACACGCACGATCTTTGCAACACAGATGTCCGTAATTACCAGTATCATCGCAGCGACGACTTCCGTTGTGTTGCAGCTCACGACGATCTACTCCACTAGTTTGGTCCCAACAACCTTCACCTTGACCAGCACGGCATTTAGCGTTCTCGACCGAGGTCTCACAACGACCATCTTCACCGGACGAACTGTCACAAGTACTGTGACAGCAAATCTGCTGAATCTACCGATCCGTGCGGAGCCTACGCAAACCTTGCCAACGGAGGTAAAAGCTTGACAGGCTGAGCCGACACCTGCCCAACCTTCACGTGCGAAAAAGTACTGGCACCTTTTGTACACCGGTAGTCCTTCGCGCAAGAGAAAAGGAGAATAGCAGGGAGAGTATTGAGTTGTACATACTGCGACGATGCCTGGGTAAAGACCATCCAGGTCTGGTAAAAATATGGCCTTTTTTCATAGAGGCAAGGAAGTATGTCTCGTGGTTTCCCTGTACCTGTATAATATATTGTAGATGCAGTAAGAATATACACTGACTGGGGGCCGCATTGATATTTTGCTTTTGGCGCTATGGCCGCATGCGTTTTAGCGCTGTTTTTGAACCGCCCCACTTTTCGAGGATGGAACTCGCACTCACCTGCAAGACAGGCACACATGCTACCGCGAAGCCCGTCTAAAACGAGCTCTTCATAGCAATCACACGATGAAAACAGGTGAGCGAAAAGCATCATAACTTGGCGACGCCTTGGAAATAGGCATTGTACCGGGCAGGGCGGGCCTGAACCGGGCACGGGGACCTTTTCGGTCCCAAGCCCTCTGCAACGAACTGGAAGCCAGCCAGCCCCGTGTCCAATTATCAGTCCACACCGCTCGAGCGACCTACATCTCGATGAACTGATCGGTGGAATTAATAATGAAAAAGGTTCGGTCCGCGGTATGGCACGTAGAGAAAGCGCCGGTGATGCTGGGCCCACCGTTCGATCAATTCCATCCGTCTTCCTGTGTCACGACGTCCACGTAAGTATGCACGCTGCGACCCCCGCCAGACGAGCGGACAGGTAGAGGAGGCTATGCAGGTACGGTGCATCCATGCAGAAACGAGGGAGGCTGCAGGTACTGGAACCAAACGGAAATTTTGCTCAAATGGCAGCTCGAACTACTGCACGCAACCAGCTAGCGTCGGCAGTGCGACAACCAGTCCTGAATATGTTCAGCCACCTACTATCGACGGATGGCACGCCAAGCCACAATCTGTCCAATGGTGATCGCTAATGGACTAGGAAGCAGTGCAGCCTGATCAGGCCAAGCCGAGACATTAATGAGGCTCCACAGAAACCTCCTGGACCCCCAACCTTGCCTACATAAGCGCACACACTGCAGCATCAGGAGGTCTTCTCGGATAACTACCAATTTCAAATTCATCCTGATCCGCCTCAATCGATTGCCATCATGGTGCAATACGCAAACTTTCTCTTCCCTCTCTACGTCTACCCTACCAACAATGCATGGGAGCCACTGACATCTGCGGCCGCGCAGTACCCAGATGTCACATTTACGGCGGTCATCAACCCCTCGACCGGTCCAGCACCAGATGCGGATGGTTGCCCTAATAATGATTATGTCAAAGGCATCGCGTCCCTCAACAAGTACCCAAATATCCACACAATGGGCTACGTACATACCGCCAACCAATGGAACTGCGGCTCTTCGGGAAAAGACATCTGCTTCTGCACTGCACCAGCTGCTGAAGTGAAGGCAAACATCACTACGTACGCGAGCTGGAAGACCAAAAGCTGCCCGGGTTGGAGCACAGCGAACCCCGATATCCATATCGACAGCATCTTCATTGATGAAGCACCCGGCCAGGATGGCGGTAGCTGCCTCAGCTACATGACCGACCTCACAAACCATGCGAAGTCGTCCTTGACGACTGCCTCGGGCGGTGAGGTACTTTTCAACACTGGTGCAGCAACGGAGATGTCATACTTCGATGTCGCCGATGTCGTCATTCTCCTAGAAGATACCCAAGCCGCATACGAGGCCATTCCCGATATTGGCGTGCGCAATGGCAACGGCAAGTACTACAAAAAGTCGTCGATCATCATCCACTCGGCCAGCAACGCCACAGACAACATCCAGAGGGACACGAGCACTGTGTTGGGGCTCGACCGCAGTGCGTTCCACAGCCTGTTCTATACAGACCGATCGACTGATCAGTACGCATACTTCCCTTATAACTGGGCTGAGATTGTCAAGGAGGTTAACGTGGTTGCTCAAGCTAACAAAGTCATTCTCGGAGCATAAGCAACTTCAGGGCGCTCAAATGACCATGTTGCGCACATTTGTGCAAAGCAATTGCGAGTACAAGTAATATAGAACAGAATGACGACCTTAAAATACAAGCTTGCCAAAACCATACTTCATGATCCTTTCACCTTTCCTCATCGCATGCCATGTAGTGATGCGATGTCTCACCTAGCCCTTCCTTGTGGGCCTTCTGCCGCCGTCAGCAGCTTCATCCCCCTCAGGATGTAAGGTGCCACGAACCACCCCGACTGCAACTGCCAAACGCTCGGTCTTTGCCATCAACCACTCATTATGTGCTATTCCTAGCTTCCAATGTGACGGAAGGTTCGCATATCCAACGTATGCACCAAGGAGCGCACCGGCTGCTGCGCCATTGGTGTCAGCGTCACCCCCTTCCATGATCAGGGCAACCATCAGCTCTTCAAAAAGCTGCGCCTTTCCCGCAATGCCTACAGCTAACGAACTTTTCGTAATGCGCCGGAAGGCGAGCCGGAGAAGCAATACGGCCGACCCCAGACATTTGTACACGTATCCAATCTCGCCTTGGCTGTCCAGCTGCAGCTCATCCAGGGTCTCCGCATACACATGCTTCTTGAACTCCTGGCGTTCCAAATGCAGTCGAATCTCAGTTTCAGCCAAGCCAGTAGGCTGACCAGGATTCGTAAGGTCAGGCTGCTTGAGTACCCAAGCGTATGCGCGTTCGATAACTGCATTGATGTCTTCCTCGGTCTCAATCTCGCCCCGCAACAAGCCTCGTACCAAGCCTACGGAGATGCAGCATGCAACAACACATCTAGGATCAACGTGTGTAGTTCTTCCGACGTCCACGCTCAGCTGCCAAGTCTCTTCCTCTTGTGCGTAAACACCAATCACGCCGATCGGGTGCGTGCGCATCAGGCTTCCGTTGGGTGCGGCGTGCCGAGATGATTTGATCCAACGATCCGTCGCGCACTGAAGAGGACTAGACAGAAACCGGCTGTTGTTCACCACAGATCCAACAAGTATTCCAATGTCATAAACGGGACGATCGAGCGCAGGCAGGCCTCTAGACACCCATATCTTCAGCCGAGCTGCGAACTCCTGCGCCAAATCGGCATTGGTGCCGTGGGTATGGATATTTAGGTAGCCAAGCAGGATCAGGAGTGCTTGGTCGGTGTCATCTGTCCATGCACAGGGCTCGAACTGAGAGCGATGAGCGTCGGGGTACGGCTCCGTTGCTGGCTCTACGAGGCTGAATTGTCTGGTAGAATACGCATGCTCTGATCCGCGCTTGGACATAAATTCTGTATACAGGCCAATTGTGTCGCCGAGAGCAGAACCAATGATGCATCCGTAGATCTTGTCGACTGTTGTAGCCGTTACAAAGGGGTGTCGACACTGTTGAGTCGCAGCCTCTGGGTTACGATGCGCCATGTCTGTGAAGAAACAATAACGAAGTACTAAGGATAGAAGGAGACTTTGACTGGAAGTTATACAGCGATCAGCATGCTTTAGCTAGCGGTACGAAGGCAGACGCGTAAAAAGGGCGCGTGGACGCCTGATGTGAGGTAAGCGTTTCAGCCTAACATAAGTGGGCCTACACCCAAGTCATCCCTTTCATCACAAAGCAGAGTGGTTGGCAGGAGATTTCAGATGAGTCCGAAAGTGCAGGAACAGTCCCAGCATATCTGGGTAGATAGTCGCAAACGACGTACTCATCAACTACCGTGTCCGTGCGCGTAATGCGCGGATTCGCGTAATGCGCCGAACCACCTTTTTGTACCCATACTTCACTGTACAATTACTCAATGCCACAATGACTATGAAATCTGCCTTTGAAGAGATAGACTCTATGATACCATGCGATAAGATCCCGTGGACAGCGCTGGCTAAAAAACATAAGGTTGTGCGCTCAACCCTGTCTCGAAAATAT